GTGGTGTTGATGTACAAGTGTGCGTGTATGTGCCACTGACATGGTTGTATGACGTACTCGTTGGTCAAGAAGGCTCCTCGACTTGTTCGTGTGTGTGTGTGTGTTCGTATATGTGGCCGGCGAGTGCCATCATCGCATTCAACACCATACTCACCAACAACAGCTTAAGCACCACGAGGATGAACATCATCGTCGTCGCAATCATGACCATGATCACCACAAACGTCATAATCATCAGCATAACTAGCACCATCATCGAGTCATAAACATCAGAAGCAACAGCATCATCATCATGTTCCTGGCCACCATCGCCATCGCCAGCATGATTAACATCATCGATCGTAATCGTCGTCATCATCATCAGCATCGAAGCCAAGCTCATCACCATTACCATCATCATCGTGACCATCATCATCAACAACATCATCATCAACCGCATAATCATAATCATCGTCATCGTCATCATCAGCATCATACCAACCTCCTTCTACTCCTCCTCCTCCTCCTCCTCCTCCTCCTTCTCCTTCTCTCCTCCCTCTCCTCATCCCTCTCCTCCTCCTCCTCCTCCTCCTCCTCTTCCTCCTCCTCCTCCTCCTCCTCCTCCTCCTCCTCGTCCTCCTCTCCTTCCCATAGAGCGAGCAAGCGCGGCGCGCGGCGCGCAACTCCTGTGCGCGCTACCTTCCTTGCGCCCTGTTCCCTCCTACCCGTGCCCCGCGTTCGTCCTACTGCTCAATTGCCGCCCCCCTATCCCTCCCCCCACTTGATTCCCCCTCTCCCTCCCCGTTTCCCCTCGCCGTCCTTCTCTTCATCGCTCCTCCTTTCCTGGAGCTGTAGTGGGGCTCCCTGTGGGGCGCGATCCCACTGAGAACTACCCGACATGAATGTGAAGCTGAAGATCCCTGCTTGGGCGCGATCCTCGTGACGAGCTCGCCCAAACGCGCGCGGTACCAGACAGGGTCACCCTCTTTAGTTGGAACTCCCAGTGGGACACGATCCTTAGGGCTGAGCCCCGGCCCGCCAAAGGCGCCGCCAAAGCCATGGGGCAGAGCCCCGGCCCGGAGGCCGGTCCGCCGGGCCCCCCCTGGCCAGGAGGCCGGTCCGCGGGGCTAGGAGGGAGAAGGGACAAAGAACGAGGAGGCGGAGGAGGAAGAGGAGGAGAACGACGACGAACAGCAGCAGCATTGGAGAATAGGGGAGAAGGAGGAGAACGACGACCAGGAAAAGGAAGTTGAAGAGCGAGAGAAGTAGGGAGGAGGAAAAGGCGCTGAAAAAGAAAGCGGGAGGAGGAGCAGATAAAATATGAGGAGCGGCGCCGACATGAACGAAGAACCCTGGCCTGGGGGCCGGTCCGCTAGCACCCTGGCCTGGAGGCCGGCCCGCTAACACCCTGAGTCCGTGGAGCCAGGTGGGGAAAGATAGGAACGGCGAAGGAACCAACTGGGGTTAGCTCTCGCTGGAGCTGCAGCTGGAATTTTCTGTCGGGCGCGATCCTCGTGGCAGCGACGGGTGGCAGAAGTGGAAGTGAACCAGATTCGACCCCCGTCGCTGAAGCTGTAGTTGGAGCTCCCTGTGGGGCACGATCCAAGTGATAACTGCCCGACATGGACGTGGAACCTTTGAGGTGTAGCTGAAGATCCCTGCTTAGGCGCGATCCTCGTGAGGGGCGCGCCCAGACGCGCGTGGAACCAAACAGGATCACCCTCTTTAGTTGGAGCTCCCAATGGGGCACGATCCTCGCCAGGAGTGCGCCGCCAAGGCGATAGGGAAAACCCCCGGCAAGGAGGCCGGCCCGCCGGGCCCCCCCGGTCTGGAGGCCAGTCCGCGGGGTTCGGGGCCCCCCGGCCTGGAGGCCAGGCCGTTGCCTACTACTACGGCTGCGACGGCGACTACGACTACGACTACGACTACGTCGACTACTACTAGTACGACTACGACCACTACTACCAGAACTACTACTACGACTACGACGACGATTACGACTACGACCAGTACTACTATTAAAACTATTACTCCTACCACTGCTACTACTGCTTCTTTCAGTTCTACGACTACTACTACTACTACTACTACTACTACTACCACTACTACTACTACTACTACTACTACTACTACTACTACTACGACTAGTACTACTACTACTACCACTATTACTACTGCTGCTACTACTACTAGTATTACTACTTTCTAAACCTACTACTACTACTAGTACTACTACGACTACTACTACTACTACTACTACTACTACTACTACTACTACTATTGCTACTACTATTACTACTACTATCTCCACTGCTACGACTATTGCTACTGCTACAACTACTGCTACGTCCACTACCACTATTGGCCGATTACTTCTTCTGTTGCTGCCACCACAACAACATCTACTAGCACAGCTGCTACAAATACTAAGAGTACTACGGTGCCTACTACTACTACGACGACGACGACTACTACCACTACTACGACTACGACTACGACTACTACTACTACTACTACTACTACTACTACTACTACTACTACTACTACTACTACTACTACTACTACTACTACTCTCACGACTACTATTACGACTACGACTACGACTACGACTACGACTGCGACTACGACTACGACTACGACTACGACTACGACTACGACTACTACTACTACTACTACTACTACTACTACTACTACTACTACTACTACTACTGCTACTACTTGCGGCCACGTGCACCACATCACCACGGCTCGACCACGTTGGGGCGAGCGCCCTGCGGCTGCCCCATTACCCTAAATGAGACAGACGCCAAGTGGGGTGCGAAGAAAGGCTGGGCGCGCACCGCGGACGGGCGAAGCTGCGGCGTCACGGCCATGGCGCATCAAGACGAGCCTGGCCCAGAACAGCCACAGGGCGAACGGCGCGCGGGGCTGCGTCGGCGCCGCTCGTCCCAGTCGCGGCCGCCAGGGCGCGTCAAGACGGGCTTGGCCCAGAACGGGGCTGCGCCAGCGCCGCCCGACCCCCGAAGCTCGGGGGCCTCGCGCGGCAAGAGCCCGCAGCGAGAAACGGGGTAGGGCAAGTCGATTGAAACGCCGAGGGCTGCGCGGCAACGCTGCGAACGGCCCGCAGCCCACGGGGCGGCCCTAGCGCTACAAAATATTAATACCACGGGGCGCGCGAGAGAGGCCGCGGCGGAGCCTCGGCCAGCCGCAAGTTGGCGCGCCCTGGCGACTATTG